ATATTAAAGCCACCATCAGGGCAACTGGTTTTGAAAATGCTTCTGTGTAAGATATTATAGAAAGCTATGTTTTAAAATATTCTGTGTTGTTGATTTTAGATGAAGCCCAGAAACTTGAGAAGATATCATTACAGAATGTTAGAATGTTATTACATCAGGTAGAAGAAGTTCTGGGTTTGTGGAAAGTTCTAGTTGATCATCAGTTCCATGTATTAGCTGCAGCTCTTACTAAGGTCTGTATATANGTCATTATCATAATGGCATCAACTCGCTTGGTCATTTTCTTACCTTAAAATTTTCCTATAAAATGTGTTGATTGTTTTGTGTATTAAGGTCTATGTGATCATCTCTTGATATCATCTATAACCATCTCTTAAGATGACTAGTATATCTGTGCTCCAATGATACTGCAACTTTGGGGAATCTGAAAGTGAGCTCATCCCCTGTTGGTGATATACAATACACCTGATCTTTCTATGAAATGGCATATGTTGTAAGGCTTTGTGATGTGGAATTTTAATTGACCGATGATTAAAATTCTATAGTCACTTTTATTTACAGGACCAACAGAATCAGTTACGTTCCATGACATTTAAAAACCTGGTAATTAATGGGAGAGAGGTAAGAACATGTTATGAAGATTAAATACTAGAATAATGTCTAAGTTCAAGAACTAACTTTATATGCCTTATTGATTTGTAAACAACATCTCTATCCTATATACCTCTTGTCCATTTAAAACCCATATTATCTTCAAGAACATCTATAATTCCAGTAGATATCATGACTTTGTTTTTGAAATAGTTATAGAGAAACACCAAATCAAATTACAGTATCAGCTTGCTAAGCAGTTAATTACATCCTTCTATTGTGTATTTCAGTTATGTGCAGCATTAATAACTTGTCTAATAACGAGATTTCTACAAGATAATGCTAAGATAGATAATATCAGTTCTATATTACGTAATGTTTGTCCTAATTTATATAGTACAGATGATGCTACCTGTTCTATGGTAAGTTATTTTCTAGGCTTCAGCATTCCTTTATTTACTATGAAATTTCCAAATAAACATTATTAGCTGTATAAACTCTTAAACAAGGATTTGCAGGTAGCCAATTTTAGACAGGATCATGCTACTTTAAAGAATCTTATGACCCATGTTAGATTCATTAAAATTGTCAATAGAACTCCCTTTCTGGTGAAATTAAGGCATGCTCCCAATCTATTATAGTTATCTTTTCAATTTATCAGTACTTGTGATTGACCTACTTCCCTCTTATTAATATTTCAGGCTAATGAATTACTCCATGCTTCGAAAGCCAATCAGAATCAAGGAGAAAAACAAAGACAGTTATACGAAGCTTTGAGGGTATGTATGTAAATTATATCAACCAACAAAATCCTGGTAATATTCATCTTGATTTATCAAGTTCCATTTTAGCTCTTCATTGTGATAATTGGGGTCAAAAATATATTCATGTTCGTAACAGAGCAGGCTAATGCTGCTGACCTGAAAAAATTGCGCAATCAGTGCGCACTGCATAGCAAGATTCATAAGCCCAATTAGGTGCAGAAGGGTTTCATTTCATTTTTTTGTTCTTTTAAATCAAGCTCTTTCCAAATAGGCTTCAAGTAGGGTGTATAACTCCATTCTATTTGTTTCAGTTATTTAAAGATGTGATCAGCCTCTAC